CAAAGGATCAGGGATGCCTGTGGTTTTCTTCACTGTCATTTGGGAAGAAAGCATCCTTGGCTGGGCAATCCGTCATGCTAGTCTGTGCCATCAGATTTTTGTGCCATTGGAGGATACATCAACAGACACACTGCTAATTTCTCATTGGATTATATGTACTGAAGCTATGATTAGTTTTCTGCTTTTCTTTCCAATATTTCCCCAGTATGTCCCATTGCTGCACCATACATATGTTATTTCCCTCCACGTTTATATATAACACCTGCTTAGAAACACTGTCTAGTTTATGGCAGAGCAGTACAGACAATGAGTTCTTGATTTTAAAGCAGTAGTAAATGTTTATGGAGTTTGCATGCATTCCCTTTTTTGCAGATTGAAGGTCATTTGTTCAGTTTGCCACCTCTCTAAGTGCTGTATGGCAAGACTCTAGTGAATAAAATCACACAAAAGCACATATTTCCCCCACTCAATTTCTAAGTCATACAGCATCCCTCCATCGTGTTTCAGGTAGTGCCAGATTCCAAACAATCTCCTCTTCACATTTATGAAGAAAGATATTTCTATTGTCAGCATTTTATGTTGAAATACATCTAAAAACATTTTAAAAATAGTTGTTTTCCTTGGCATAAATATAAAATATCTGCAAGTATTATCATGTTAAACGATGGATAGCTCAGACTGATCTGAAAAAACAAACAAACAAGACACGGCATGTATGATTAGATCAGTAACAGCAAAGAAAAAAACATTTATAGGGTCAAGAAATGCCAAAACACTCCTTTAATTTGGTGACTATAACACACTACAGAGCCCTTCCCTGTGTGGAGCGACTCCTTCATGGCCCCATAAACACACACGATCAGCATTGAGCAGGTGCCCCGCTGAGTCACAGCCCTGTCATGTATATTTGATGGTAACTCGAGCATGTGTGAGTGTGCGAGGGCAGACATGCATATGGGCTCGATTGTGTAAACTGTGTAAAGTGGTGTGAACGTGCACATGGGCTTGTGTGAAACGGTACCTAAGCACCGCGCATATATCTGTGTATCATGGAGATAGTTGCTAAGCTGTATGTTCTGAAACAACACAGGGTTTGTTTTCCACCAGCTAAAACCTGTTTGGATTCTCGGGTGACGGTTATTGTCCTCAGCTGCAGTCAAAGTCACTTCTCTCTCTCTCTCTCTTCTTCCTCAACTCTGTCCTTAATGGAGACATTTTTTTTTTCTCTGCCATCATTGGCAACCCGTACCTGCTTATTCCTCCTGCCAAATTTAGATGGACCGAATTTGAATAGTAAATAAAGGAGTTATTGATTGAAACACTCCCGGTTTAAATAAAGAGGCGTTGGAAGGATGATAAATCTGAAATGGAGCAAGCTTTCTACATTGACTGCCTGTGATATTGTCTGAATGAAGAGGTCTATTTTAAAGCCTTAAGTCTATTTCTCTTTTTTTTCCCTTTTATGAACTCCACACCTTGAATGCTTCAGCCTCATTCCCCTCACACAGCTCTCCGTGGAGCTTTTCATCAGCTCGACAGAAACCTGGCATTAGATGGATTTATTCACTTGCTCATTCACAAAGTCATTTCAGTGATTATTTTTCCTCCGAAAACTTTGAAAGGGGCGAGCACGAGTGTGTGCCGAACGGAACGAGTGCTTACAGGAGAAGACAAGTACATATCAATGAAGGAAGAAATCCACAAGTAAACTTTTGAAGGTGAGCATGAGGAGACACTTAAAAGGCATAAGCACCTGCATACAAGAGGACGCTAACTGTGCTATAAGGGCCCCTTTATTGGGTGAGGAAACAAGCCTGTGACCTATGTGATAGAGGAGCAGGGAATTTGCATTTCTACGCAATTAACTCTTCATCCCGAATTGCTCCGTGTCTTGCAGAGAGAAGGAGAATTACTCTATCACATGATTACATTTAGGAACTGCTAACAGCATGGCGACGGAATTGATTTCATCTTCACTCTGCGCAAATACTTGGAAGCATTTGTTTTAATCAAGATTTAACTCGGAAGAAGTGTCTACAATTTCTTCCGATTTGCCATTGACACAGAGAGAGACTTTAAATTACCTGTCTTCCGTGTTTTGTTTTGTTTTTTTTCTTTTTTCCCGACAGATTTAGCTCGTTTCATTTTGAAATCGCACCGTGTTCATCTGCCACTTTAAGTTACAACCCAGGCTGTTTGGTGCTTCATGCTATTTAATTTTCATTATTTGAGGGGGAGGAATCAGACTGACAGGTAGAGGGAGAGAGGCAAAAGAGATGAGACAGGGGAGGGAAGAAACCGAGGGGAGAGACAGAGATGCCCCACAGAGAACAAATGGCTGGTTAGTAATATATGAGGGGCATCAGCTTACACTGAAGGATAAAAAGGCAGTCAAGCAGGGGATACACATCTGTCATCTGCTGTTCACACACACACACAGGCCAGCTGCTAGAGAGTGATGTAACTAGTGACTATTGTTCCATGGCTTATGCATCTTTATGGATTGCTAACCTGAGATGCACCCTTCCTTAGAAGAGCTTCAGGAAGGTAAAAGGGTCAATTTTTGGCAACTTTCTGGCAACATCAACAAAAAACTGAAAATGCATTGGCTCTGTGAAAGTGGAATTTATGGCATAGCTGTTGTAAGGGATTGCATTAGAGTGTTGTGAGTGCGTGTTTTATAGAAAGCCTCACAGAATGAGGAAACACTGTGTCTGCAAAATGCTCCGGCAGCTAAAGTATAAATAGCATTTTTTATGAATATGTTTAGACAACTTAAATCACTTGGGAGGAGAGAGAGAGATTGTTGTCTTGGTTCAGTATTAAAATATTAAAAAGCCTGACATGAGGCAAAGATGTGAATAGTTTGACACCCAGTGTATTTTCCAAGAGTTAGATGAGCAGATCAAAACACAATGTGTGTGGAGCTTTACTTACACGTTAGACTTGAAGCAGAAGAAAACAGTCATATGAATCCTTATGTATTTACCTAGTAGGAAACCAAACCTGCTGCCTTTTTTTGGCCTTTGGTGATCTATGCATAGCAAGTTGGAGGTGCAGAAGATGAATCCCAGCCTTTGATGTCAAACTCTTGTGCTTTGTATGCCTGGCCATCCACCCCAACAGCCTCACTCAGGCTTTTGTCCAATTAAAATCAGTTCCCTTTTATTTATATAGTATCGATTTACAACATACGCCATCAAAAGGCACTATTTTAGAGAGAAACCCAGTAATTGTAACGATTCCTTTTAAGCAAGCACTTGGTGACAGTGGGAATAAAAAATCCCCTTAAACAGGAAGAAGAACCAGGCTCAGGGAATACGGTCATCTGCTTCCACTGGTTGGGGTGAAAGGAAAGGAGACGGAGACAACAAACAAAAGAACAATAAACACTGGGGAGGTTGGTGGGGCCATTAACCTCAGATCAGAAATGTACATCTCTGGAAGGACAGATACCTGCAGAGAGGACAAAACACAAACTACAGAAAGGAGAAGACACAAAGTTAATGGCATGAAACGCTGGCATGAATACATGGAGAGTAGAGAGGAGGGACGTCAGGAGTTCCCAGTGGCCTGGGCTGATAGCAGCATCACTGAGGGATGGGTCAGGGTCACCTTAGCTAGTCCTAACGATGAACTTGATAAAAAATAAAACATTCTAAGCCTAATTTTAGATGTAAAAAGTATGTTTCAATCCCAAAGTGAGAATTGGTTCCACAGGAGAGCAGCCTTATAGCTGAAGGCTCTGCATACGATTCTACTTTTGGACACTAGCAGAACAATGAATTCCTACTTTAAAGCTACGTCCTCCATTAGGCTAACAGATTATACTTTGGTACAGTATAAGATGCCCCAATATTAATACAAACTATAAAGAAAACAGTGGAGATAGAGGTTGTTTTTTTAAATTAATAGGTATTTAGCAAAGTAAATTAGAAGTAAACATATTTTATAGGTGATAGGACTGACGAGATGTAGCATGGTCATGCTGCTAACAGGTTAGCATGAACGAGAACTACAGTGTGGTGGGAATTTTTGAGAAAATAGGGTTTGTTTTTTTAATTTTTTGTGCTAAAAAGTATTTTTAAAATGTTAATTTTAAACATAGTATAGGGTAAACCCTGTTTTAGGCACAGTTTGAACTTATTTACTTATTATGTTGCATTGACAGAGTAATTACCTCAGAATGCTTGCTTGAGCAACGGCTTGCTTGCTAATAAATGTTCAACTTGGGGACAAGCGAACAAGAAGCTCTTTGTCTCTTTCTCAGCATTGACAATTACAAAATGAGCCATTTTCAGCAGTGAATAAGCTACTTTGTGGGTCTTGGATAGTTGAAGCTGTATTTGAGAACCCACTCTACCTTCTTCTACTGCAAAAGAGTCAAGAAACAATGGCAACGAATCTGGAGATAATCTGTAATGTCACACAGCTGTAATGCTTTGTCATGGAGTGGAAGACAGAGAGAGACTGAGTGAGAGGGAGAGAGTGTGATCATTGTTCCATGAAGTCTATTTTCTAGGTGAGCAGATATCTATCTTTCAGCCTTCCTCTGGGATTTTCCCAACCATCCTCGAGAGCTGTACAATAACGTTGGCCCGCGAATGTGGGTGTTCTTGTTTCCCTGTATCCTGGCAAGGACAGAGGGATAAAAGAGAATGCTTGAATGTCGGCGGTGGTGCTGTTTTTTCTGGCTCAATAGGACCATTTTAAGCCTCCAGACGGGGTTAAAATACTTTCTCTTAATAGTAATACAGTAAGTGTGGGTGGCGGATGTGAAAGGAGGTGGAAAAGCCTGTCCAGATTAATACACTTGTGTACCGAACAGCCAAATAATGCTCATACTCGCGTACCTTTTTCTAAATTTTTAAACCTGCTTTCATGTTCTTTCATGAATATTTTCTCTTCTTCTTTTTCCTTCCTCCTATCCTCCCTCGATTGCTACCTACCTTCTCGTCTTCCTTCCTTCCTGGTGGGATGTGGCTGTCTTCTTTCTGCAGATTGGCAATACGAGGGTAAGAACAATCTCGTTTCTCTTCCTCTGTTAACTGTGTTCAGTCACTGTGTTAGTGTATTAACCCCCGCTGGCCCTGCAGAGATTGTTGTAGTGGGTTACGTCTGTCGTTAAAAAAAAAAATAAAAGAGAGAGGGAGAAAAAGGCATTCGTCTCTTTCCTTTGCCAGCTTTTCCCTCACTTACCTCACTTCTTTTTCTACTACATTTCCTTCCAATAATTTGTCTGCTCTTTTGCTACCCAGTCCATTTCCTCTCACTGGAGAGAGAAGAATGAAGTTTCTGAGCTATAGGCTAGATCACGTCTGCCAAGCTTATCCTTTATTTATCTCCTCACATTTATTGCAGTTGTACTTCCAGCATTTCATAGTAATGGCACCAAAACTCACACTAAAGCACTGGAAATACTACGATTTTTGACACCATCACTCACAGGCTTCAGAGTAAAGATCCATATTTCAAGATTTTTAAAAATGAATGAGTGCAAACCTGAATATATCAATGCCAACTTTGTGTTTTTTTTCCTTTTTCTTTTGCAGAATGTAAACTCTCTCGGTCGGGTCCACCTGCTACCATCGTGGCCATAGACGAAGAAAGCCCCAACGGTAAAGTACTGACCTCTTGTTTTCTTCATTCTGTGCTGGAAAGGAGATTTAAACGAAGCTTCAAGATGGGACAAGCGAGCTTTTTGTCAAAATTAACATTTTGAATACAATCATCACCTTTTACCGTATGACAAACAAACACCGTTAGATGATCTTGACCTTTTAGCGGAGGCTGATTGGCGTGGCATGTAGCCTACACTCATTAATATTCATTATGTCTGTGCCAACTGTGTCATCGCTGAAGTCTGATCCCCGCTGCAGAAGATTAGGACATCAGGTCACTGGGTTTCAGCTATGTCACCGTGTACAAGCATAAACCTCAAAAAAAAAAAAGTGAATGTCATTGCGTCTTTCTGTGGGGATTATGGGCTGTTTTCTGTCAATGAACAATAACTTCCAGGCATCTTTGCTGGTTGCCCGGCAACTTCACGGTGTCAACAGGACCTTGGTTTTAAGAGTTGTAACGTGTTAATTATTGAGCTTCGGAGGTGCTGGCTAGTGGATTTTGTTTCCAGACCTCATGTCATGCTAAGCTAGCAGCTGCTGGCTTCATGTTAAATGCGCCGCCAGGATAACAAGAGGTACAGATCTTTTCATCAAACACAGCGATGAAGCAGATTTCCCAAGATGTTTAGTATAAATTGCAACAATAACTAATTTCTTTGGATTCAGTTCAGTCATTTTGTTCTCTCAGATGTAAAATTGGCTTGCAATCAGGGGTACAAGATTAAAAAAAGACACCACAAGTAGAGAAAAAAAGACAAACATTCAAAAATATAAACTACAAAATGCTTCTTGATCATACAATATACAGAAAACAATAATACAACCATGTGCAGAGCAGGGTTATACTCTGATTGCACTTGAACCAGAGTGCTCTAAAGCTCCGGCCTAAAAGAAGAGCTTCAAACTCAGGCTAGACGGGGTCTGTTTGTGCAGGCTGACATAGATCTGGCCTTTCAGAGAACCTGCTGGTCAAAGAAAAGAGAAGAGAGACAAGTAATTGGGGGTGAAGTGAGCTATATTTAGGTTTTTGGGGCCTGGTTGTGATGACTTGTCAGTCGTTTTTTTTCAGTGGTTTAAATCCAAGTAATCCAATAGTTGTTTTTTTCAAATGTATGAATAATTATTTTGTTAGACCCGGATGCACTGTTCTTCTCTTCTCTTCTCTTCTCTTCTCTTCTCTTCTCTTCTCTTCTCTTCTCTTCTCTTCTCTTCTCTTCTCTTCTCTCTTTCAAAAACCTTTTTATCTGAACACCAAAGGAAATATCTTCAGTGTGTTTTCTTGTCTCCAGCCTGAGCTCAAAGTTTCTGAGACCTCCTTACCTCATTAGTGGCTCCTGGTTTGATCCCGGGGCCGTTTAGACTTTACAGAGACGTCTCAACAAACACAAAAGTCGACTTCGGGGTGCGCTTCGTCGCAGGCTTGTGTCTATATTAGCTTTTTTTTCATGTGAAGAGGAGGTGGTTATTTGTGGATGGATTCAAATTTAGTTGATTGGTTTAATCCTTGTGTTGATTATTAGTACATTAAGGCTTGTGCTGGCGTAAAAGAAGGACCGTTAATTTGCACAAGGGACGGTGTCGACAGACGTCTGCATGCTTAAATCACTCTCTTATCTCCTGCCTATAGATTACTGCTCAGAGACCTGTCATAATGTTTGCCATGTCTGCTTTTCCACCAAGTTTTTAAACAGTGAGACCTGATCACAGTAATCCTAACTGACATAAATAGAGATTAGCATAGCAACAGCAGACAGAGAAGAGAGCTGGCATGTCTGTATCTGTTGATGGCTTAATGCATCCTTCGAAGCTATCTATCCTCTTATTTCTAATATTTTTTTTTTTCCTTTTTACTGCATTCTTCTGATCTTCAGGAGAGTGTTTTTTTCTTTTTTTTTGGGAATGCACATCAGCCTTGAAGTGGTAATTACATCTTGGGCTTTGATTTGCATTTCCTGGTGCCACCAGTGTTGGCATTCCATGACAATAACAAGAAGATTTATTAGTTATTTACTGTGCTTACAATAAGATGTGAAAAGCTCAAGGACGCCTCAAATTAAATTACTTAGAAAAATGCCACATGAATATTATATTATATGCAGTATTACACCTCTCCTTCACTCATTTAACATTGACACAAGGGTGAAGTGTACTTTCGTAATTGCGGGAGACACAAAAATAGCTGAAACATTTCTCTTTTAAAACCATCTGAGCCCTAAAACCCAATCAGATTTGACAGGTATGTTTGGGGAAAAAAATAAAAATGCCAAAATTACAGCATTTATCAGAGTCAGAATCTGTAAAAACATAAGGATGATCAGATTTGCAATTTTCTGACAGTTCTCAAACTAATCGGTCAGGAAAATTATTCAAAACCAGGCGTACAAATGTGATTTTCATCAAACTCGCTTTATTCTACATGTCTGCGTGTCATTCGCCAAATCATTTCACCAATTACTCTCACCAGGTTCTGTGAAAACTTCAAAAAGTGTTCACTTCTCAGCACAACTAGAAAGCTACGACTGATTCGACAGTCATTCCAGGGACTATTTGTCTGAACTTTGAATTTTTATCAAGTAAAAAATGAAATAAATCTAGCTTTTTTTCTTTTCTTTTCTTTTTATGATGAGACATTTTTGAGTTGTCTCTTCTCTTTTCTTGGTTTGTGTGTTTCCGTGGAGGTGCAGGACTTTTTATTACAAGTTGTCTGCAAAACCTGGAAGGAGTAAAAAACAAAACAACAAACATATACTGCTTGGAAAATTTAAATCAAGTCAAGGATGGTGCCTACTTCTTACATGTTAATTATTTATGCTTGTAGATAACCCTTCACAGCTCTTGATTTAATGTGTAATGATTTATATAAATCAGGTAACAGTTAAATACCTCCATGTCGGTGGAGTGGATGAGAGCAGAAGTTTGGGGAGCAAGGAGTTATTTTAGATGAAAGTAGAAAGAAATAATAAATTTACCAAAGCGTTTTGAAAATAGGTCTCCATGGGGCAGAGTACTGGGAAATAAAACTGAGGTTGGTAATAACAGCAGTGATAATTTACAGAATATATAAACTAATTATGGAGTTGTTAGCGCTGTTGTCTCATAGTGGACTCAGGGGGCCGGAGCTGTTCTGTGCAGAGTCTGGAGGCCTGCGTGGCTTTTCTCTGAGTTCAAAGACTTAAAGGTTTGTTTGACTCTGAATGTGCTGTGTAGGTGTGGATGTGGGACGGAGGAGACGACTGTCAACATTGTTTCTATCAATGGTGACTGTTTTATCCCCTTAAACTCATCTTTGATCCTGTAACCATGACAATAAGGTCCTGCACCCAAATACGTCAACCTGTTTAGATGCCCGATTGTATCATTCAACGGGAAAATCCTTCAAATCCATAGATATTCTGTAGAATCTATGTATAGGAGCGAGATGTATTACATCTTAATATTAAATTTTAAAAAAGAAATCAACAAAAAACAATGTCCAACTGCACTATTGGACCAACAAAAGAACTAAAAATACACACAAGGTGGCAGTGTGTATGATGCAAAGGACATTTTTAAATCAAGACTGCACCAGAGGAACACACATCAGAGAGAGAATCGGCCACACATGGTGATGTTTGTGTGTCTAAAATCTCACACTATATGTAGTAAGGGGCTACAGATAGGATCAGGAGCTTCACCAGAGCAACGCATCTGCTGGTGGCTTTAATGAACCAGCTAACTGACCACTTGTTGATGGATTTTTATTTATTTATTTATTTTTTAAAATCTGTATGATATGTACACTTCCATAGGCAATTAAACATCCATCTGTGTTATCTATACACTGCTTAATTCTCACTAGGGTCGTGGGGGGCTGGAGCCTATCCCAGCCAACTTAGGGTAAAGGCAGGTTCACCTGGACAGGTAACCAGTCTATTACAGGGCTACACTTAGAGACAGACAACCAAGCATACTCACATTCACACCTATGGACAATTTAGAATCACCAATTAACCTCAACATGTTTTAGGACCTTGTGGGAGGAAGCCGTAGAACCCTAAGAGAACCCACACTGCACGGAGAGTACATGGAGACTCCATGCAGAAAGATCCTGGGTGTCCTCACCGGGATGCTAACCAACAGCCTTCTTGCTGCGAGGCAACAGTGCTAACCACAGATCCACCTTGCAGCCCGCAATTAAACGGGGGACCTAAATATTTTGAATCTAAACCATGATCTGACCCAAAACCTAACCAAGTTGTTGTTGCATCAAAGTCAGACCAAACCTTTTGTCTCATCCTAAAAGAGTTTATTCTTTTCTTTCCACCGGTTTTCAACCATTTCAGCATCTGTGAAATAACTCCTTGCTCTGGTATGTTCCCGTGGGTGTTATCAGAAGGTCGGAACAAGCTGTACAACTGGTCCTACAGGCTGGAGGATCTGGAGGACTTTCAGCATCAGTACATTTATTGCATAGATGACAGTCCTTCATTTTTCTACTCCTCTTCTTTGCGCTTCTTCTTACACAACTACACTATACCGTGGCATTGGTGAGTGCTCAGTCACCCTTTGATGAACTCATAGCCCATGTATTTCACATGTGCTTTAATCACCGCTACATTTGAGATTTTCCTTCACTTACATTGACTTATCCTAGCCCTCCAGTTGTCCCAATAGTCTTGTTTTCGTCCACTCTTCCTCAATTTACTACCAGCAGGAAACAGCAGTGGTAGTACCTTATTGTTGTCAGATTCATACCACAAAACTAAAAACAAACAAAACAAAAAAAACAACTATCATGAAATTCATCATCAAGTTGAAACAGTGTTTTGCTTATATGTAACACAGATGATGCTGTTGGGTCTGTAGAGTAGGAGTAGGTGTAGGTGGTGCTTAATGAAATGAAATAATTGTATAGAAATTTAGATGTGAAATGGCGGTAGAAGGGTGTATGAAGACAAGGGTGAGTGGTGTGTTGAGTGTTCTGGCCTTAGGTTGTCTCATTTGCGCAATTACTG